TGCAAACAAGGTCTTAGGATCAGCAACTTGTGTGTGGAATGGAATTCATGACCAAGTGGGATTTATTCCAAGAATATAAGAGTGGTTCAAAATTCCAAAATCAACATTAATTCATCATAGTAAGCAGACTAAAGAAGAAAACCCACATGATCATTTCAATAGATGCTGTAAAATGTTTGACAAAATTCAACATCCATTCCTGATTTTTAAAACTGTCAGCAGACTTGGAAAGTAAGGGAACGTCTTCAAAGTGATAAAGGGCATCAATGGAAAACATACAGCTAACATTATACTTAACAGTATGACTGCTTTCCTCCTAAGATCAGGGACAAAGCAAGGATATCCATTCCGGAGTTTCTAGCAAGTACAATAAGGCAAGAAAAATGAAGTAGAAGACCTCTAGATTGGAAAGAAAGAAGTAAAATTATCTCTATTTATGGACATCTCATTTTTTAAAATATTGATTACATGTTGAAATGATAATAGTTTATATGTTTGGGGGTTAAATTGAATATATTAATTAAATTAATTCCATTTGTTTCTGATTTTCAATGTGGCTCATAGAAATTTAAAATCATATATATGGCTCATATATGTCACTCAAACTTTATTTCTATTGGACAGTTAAGTCCGAGAAATAGGTAAGAGCCAGATCAGACCTTAGGGACCACAATGAAGATTAATATATTTATCCTAGGGGTAATATGACCATTAATGGGATTTAAATAGGGAGTAACATATGAGAAATGGATTGCAGAAGGCAAGAGTGAATTCAGAGAAATTGATTAGGAGGTTGGGGTGGAGGGAGGTAGGAGGGATTGTGTATGCTGAGAATGGAGTCAAGGAGGGCCAGGAATCAAGGTTAGGAGTTCAGACATGGCCTCTGGGAAGGCCATAGGTTAAATATTTGCTACTTGTTGGTACTGTCACTATTTATTTCCAGCATGTGCATTATGCTAAGGAATATTCAGAGGAAAGTACAATATGTTAGTTTTGAAACACTTCCTCAGACATTTATGAAGTAAAATTTATAAACAACAGATTTGAAAAAGGAGTAATTATCAAGATGAAAAAAAAGCTTTCAGCCAGAAGTTTTCACACTATCTAATGGAAGAAATGCCATAGTATTGGCTTCTGTTATATACTTTTCAAGGTAGTTCATTTCTCTTTAACTTTAGATTTAAAATTTTTATTACAAATTTAAAAACCACATATCCAAACTGTCTATTGTCACACAGCTAAACTGAAAAAATTGACAATGTAGACAGAAGGAAAACAAGTATTTTCTAGATGTCATGAGTCAAGTCCTTATAAGTTCTTTTTGTTTTCTCTTCCACCAGGACTGCACTCTCTGCATCGCTGCTTTGCTTCAAACTGTATCTATTTTTTACTTCCCATTAGCTCTATATGTCCATAAATCCTCGGTTTTGTCTGATGCATTACTCAGGTTCTTAGGGGCCCGTGTTTCTTCCTCTGACTCACCTTGGGGATTGGGAAACTGCTGGAGGAGGTAAGAACAGTGGTGGTTTCGCTTCCGCTTCTAAATTTCTAAACATACTTCTGCCCCAGTCTGGTGGGACTCAGACATGAGGGGCAATCGGGGCTTCCAAGTAATTGCCCCCATTTGGTTTCAAACCCCTTGTCCTAGTGTGAGGTGGGGTGGGGTAGGAGAGGAGGAGGAAGTCATGCACCACTCTTATCGAGTATAAGATACCTGCAGGAGACTAAGCTGGTTTTCATGTCTCTGTGGAGGCCCAGGTCCACCCCAAATCCCAGCAACTTGAAGCTGATTTAAATTCTGATTCAGTTCCAGAATTCTACCTGTCTCTCAGACTGTGTGAATGATTTGGGAGTGGAACTTGCGGGTTCCTCCCTAGAGCGGAGTGCTACTCCTATGTCCTATTCTCAACTCACATGCCCAACCCTGTGGAAGAATGGAGAAAGCAGATGAGGAGGAGAAGGAAATCATTACCCATCAACTTCACTTATATTCCTATGGGACTCTTGCTAGTTTCCTGTGTAGCGTCCAGGGGCAATTCTAAGAAAAAGTAAAAGGCAGAGAGCAAGAAGGAACAGAGGAAAAAGAAAAGAGAGCATAGGGATCAACTCCACATCAAAAAATCAAATTGGGGATTCTCAATGTCAAAATTAATAGTTTCAGAGGGGGGTTCCCTTACAAATTCTGCTAAATTAGGTTATGAAGTACACTCACTTATAGATAAAGTAACTGAAATCCAGCTAGGTGAGGTCAGTTCCCTGAGATCACAAAGTGAGATGGATGTTGGTGCTGAGGAGGCTTGTTTCCTGACTCACTGTGCAGCTTTCTACCCCATCATGGCTTGTTGCTCAGACTCAGGGCACCTGAGTCATCTCTGAGTTTTACTTTCATAGTCAATCCAGAGTCCATTTCCTCCTTTCCTTCCCCACTGCCACCACCTGGTGCCAGGGCTTTGTGACCTCTCAACTAGGCTATTGGCAACGACCTCCCATCTGATCTTCAGCCGGGTCACCATCACTCTTAACTGTCCCAACCACCACTGCGAGATGATAATTTAGCCAACACACAGCTCTCATGGAAATGTCCCCGTGAGGAACTTTTAACAACTTCCTTTTGTCTAATTTATTAAGTGTTAAAAACTCTTTAGCCTGGTGTGCGGGCCTGCCAATGAGTAGCACTATGTTCTGCACTCCAGCCCAAAGCACCGTACACTGAGTATTCCTAGCGCTCCTGTGTTCACTGTCTGTGCTTCTGTGCGTTCTCCTAGGACACCCCACCTATGACCCACCGAAGTTCCTCAGTGGATCAATTCAAATGCTGACCCACCCATGCAACCCTCCTAATTCCTCCAGCTCTGAAATTCTCTAGCTCTTTATAACATGTCTTGTACTGTGGTTTTGTATATTCATATCTCATCTCTACTGTAAGATTGCCCTCCTTGAGGACAGTGACCTGTGTCTAGTTTGTCTTTCAATCCCAGAGCCCAGCACAATGGACATATATGATAAACAATGAATGATTCTTGAAATAATTAATTTCTCTTATAAGGATAGACTCTGCTACAATGTATATCATTAGAAGTGCTTTTCTTTAGGTTGCAAAGCTTTTACAATAGAAACTTTGTTTTGTTGTGCTCAGACCTTCATAGCCCATGCAATGATAAGCACAATTAACTGCCCAGGCTAACTGAACTGAATTAACACAGTAAAAAGATCTCACCAATTCCCTTCTTCACTGTAGTTGCTAAATAGATATTGAAAGGAATAACAAAATTCTCCAAAGATCCCTGGAATGTTTATGAATATATATAACTTATTATTAGTTAATGGAGCTTGTTAGATTCTCAATAAGCTCTCATTACACACAGCACTAAGACCACACATAACCAGTTACACCCACTTAGTCTCTGCCCATAATTAAGTGCACACCAGGGATATGTTAAAATATCTTCATTGTTTGAGGTTTTTAAAATCAAGGAGAAATGAGGCTGCAAATTCATCACATAAAAAATAGACATGTACTTCTTTTTCATTTTTAATCTGATTAAAACCTTTTATTTATTTGTTTATGTATTTTTTTACAGATGTTTCTCCTTTTCCCCCCATTGACACCTTCCTCCCAATCCCCGCCCCTGCCTCCGTCCCCTGCATTGTTGTTTATGTCCATGGTTATGCATACATGCATATAAGTTCTGTGGTTTATCTCTTCCCTCCCCTCCACCCCCTCTTCTGAGGTTTGTCAGTCTGTACCCTACTTCTATGCCTCTGGGCCTATTTTGTTCATCACTTTGTTTTGTTCATTATATTCCACAAATAAGTGAAAGCATGTGATAATTGTCTTTCTCTGATTGATTAGAAACTTTTAACAGCCCTGGCCGGTTTGGCTCAGCGGTTAGAGTGTCGGCCTGCGGTCCAGAGAGTCCCAGGTTCAGTTCCCACTAAGGGCATGTACCTCAGTTGCAGCTTGTCCCTAGCCCTGGTTGGGGTTGTGTGGGTGGCAGCCAGTCAATGTGTCTCTCTCACATCAATGTTTCTCTCTCTCTCTCTTCTTCCCTCTCTCCCTTTTGCTCTATCTGAAGAAGAATGCTGAAGAAGAATGCATAAGTGTCCTTGGGGGAGGATAAAAATTTTTTTGAAAAATAAACTATATATTAATGAAACAGTTCTTTCACAAAGTCTTGGCAAATATCGGAATTGATATTTATGACTCAAGAGCAGACCAAGAATATCGGAAACCAGTAGGGAAACTACCATTTAAAAAATCAACTTGGAGGACTAGGCAAATGCAAAGGGGTGTAGGTATTTCAGACTGATAAGAAGCAGGTGTAGACGCAGGACTTCATTTTTGCTTCAGTTGGCAATGGCACTGACATCTGTCCCCGTTATCTGTCAAAGTGAGATAATGGATCTGCTATCCCATGTGCCAATTACTACCTCATTGCTGACAGTTGTTGCAAACTATTTTAACCTTTTAAAAATTGTCCAGTTTTCGGGTGTGTAGGGGTGGAAGTCGGGGTACAGGATGACAGAAGGTTAAGGAAGAAGGAAAGCAATGTAACATAGAAAAGAGCATTCTAGAGTTTATTATACAGCTTTTAAAAAATAATTTCATCATCCACTCATATTTGAATTGTGCTTTACTTTGTAGATGCTTTCATAGTGACAAGGTTTGAAATCGGTTTTAAATTAGAATGTTTCCCATGCTGCACCCCTTGAAAAGACGAAATATTCAACACTGAGCAAGTCTTTTTAATGACTGCCCTAGTGAAGCTAGGATAATGATTTTCAAGATATGTTTTATTTTCACCTAAGATGATGTGATCATGCTATTTGAGTAACTCAGTTTCTAAACTCTAAAGACAGAAATGGCTTTCATTACACAGTTAGACTCTCGCTTGGGCTGCATTCCCCCTGGCCCTGGAGAAACCCATCCCCAGTCCTTCCTGAAGCTTCACAGAGAGCAGGGCTCGGCGACTCTGAAGAACACACATTCGCATTTGTTGTTGACAACTGTGCGCTGCAACCTCCTTCTCCTCACTGCCCCGTCTAAATGGGGTTTGTAATCCTCCTTCCCACTCACTCTTTTCACTCCTGGGGCAGGAATGCCGGCTCCTGTTCTCTGTCACCTGTCAGGATCTGTCCTCCTGTCACTGGCTTATATGGACAAGTCAGCCTGTCATGTGACCCCAGCTGCTAAAAACAGCTCCGGCTCCCACTCCGAACCTGGGCCTGAGACAATGTCCTCCACCGAAAGAAACATGAAGGACACTTGATCACACAGTTCTTGGAATTATTTCCAGGAAACACTTGTAGAGACCATTCGGAGCAGCCTTCCCCTAGCAGTGCACAAGGCGACGGCTAGGAAATGAGCGCATCTTTGAATTATAAGTCTTTTTCCAAAGAGCAGCAGACCATGGACAACTTGGAGAAGCAACTCATCTGTCCCATCTGCTTGGAGATGTTCACAAAGCCTGTGGTCATTCTCCCCTGTCAGCACAACCTGTGTAGGAAATGCGCCAGTGATATCTTCCAGGTAGGTTTGTTTGGAATGCAGGGGTGGGAAAGATTCCTTTGAATCAAGTGCTTAACTTTGAGGTGGATTCCTTTAGAAAACTTTAAAAGGCTGCATTTACTTTCAAGAAAAACAACATAATTTCTAATGATTTGCTTTCTGCTTTGCTGTCACCTCCTCTTATTCCCAAATCTAATTTTATTTCAATGCTAAGAATCATATTTGTCTTTTTAAAAAATGAAATCTGTTTCAAAATTGTAAATGAATTACTATCTGAGACATTGATGTTGGATTTTCTGGGTGGAACTTTAGGTTATGAAAACATTGCATGGACAATCACCTCACGCTGAAAATGGTACATTGCAGTTGACTGTGGATGAGCGCTTGGCCTATGTTTTAGGACCACTTGCTGATAAGGCCCTAAGGGATTATCTAGTGGCAAGCTTAAAGTAGAAGTTGATGTTGTTTGTAGTAACAGGGAGTGAAGAGGGGTCTCATGAAAGCTACCCATGACATTACTTAATTCTTCTTTTCTTGCTTGGCAAGAACAGGCCTCTAATCCGTACTTGCCCACAAGAGGAGGCACCACCGTGGCATCGGGAGGCCGATTCCGCTGCCCATCCTGCAGGCATGAAGTGGTTTTGGACAGACATGGGATATATGGACTTCAGAGGAACTTGCTGGTGGAAAATATCATTGACATCTACAAGCAGGAGTCCACCAGGTATGGTTCTTCCATGTATCAAACCCATTGGAGGCTTGTTTTTATTTATTTGTTTGGTTGTTTTAGTGGGTCACTACACTGAATACTTGTTTAGCAATCACAGGCTAATTGTTTTATAGCAAAATGTTTTTCCAAGTTAGTCTTTTCTAATGAGAGTGATTTGCTCATGGAAGGAGAAAAGGGAGCTGGTGACCATGCTTTTGTATCAATTTAAGAATGAAGTAACTCAACACTAATGCAGTCCAGATGGTGACATTGAAAGAAGCATAATGCTGCCCCACTCCAAGCCTTGTAGTACATGCAGTGTACACATTTCTGCGCTTCACAGGGCCTTCGTAGCTCCCAATTCTACATGAGAAAAACTATAGTATAAACCTTTACAGAAAATTACAGAAATGGCATCTTCTAAAATAGTCCATTCCTAGTTCAGACAGTCTCACCTTAAAATGGTCTAGATGATAACAATAAAAACAAAATTCTCTAACATGTCATGGTATTGACTCTGGAAGTTGCAAAGCAAGGCATAGTCCTGGCCTTTCGCAACTTAAAGTTTAGAGACATAGGAGAAATAAAAGAGGGAGTTCAGATTATGTTTCCCTATCTCTAGATTGTATGTACTGCATACTAGTAGCATTTACCTGCTGATTGATGGTATGCAGTATATATCCAATTATTTTAAAAAGGTGGGGGCGGGGGCTTCTTCCTCATCAGATCATATTGGCTATTGAGTTCCTTTCCTACAGACAACACTGTGAGAATTAATTCCTGGAAGGCATGGTGTGAAGAGCCCTCTTTCAATTTTATACATGTCAGGTGGGTCCACAAAGCTTGATAGCAATATTGAGACCATCTAGAAATGACCTCATTGTGATTCTTGTTAGAAGACATGTATTTATGGAACATCTGCATGGCTCTGAGAGCATTGCACTCTTAGAAAGGAAGCTGCTTTATAAATCTAATATATAATTATTGTAATCACTTAGCTATTAGTTTCTGCTTATGATTCAAAACTAAATTAGATGGTGCCAGGGTATAGATGGAACTAGGGAAGAACAATGATTGCTGATGACATAGTCCAGAGATACAGAGTCGACTGTTTCCCTTGTGTCCAAAGTCTCTAGAGAAGAAGGAAAGTACTATTGTTGCTGTTGCTTGGATTTCACTAATTTAAAATGCAAATGCACACACTGTCTCTTAAAAAAAATTAACCAGCCAATTAGTAATCAACCAGTATTAAGGGAGTTTATATAACAACTGATTCAGTGCCTAGTACAGGGCCTTGCACAGAATAGTCGCTCCATAAGTGCCAGCTGATTGGGCAACCCCACAAACCTTCCTGCACCTTCTAGTTATTGCAGTCGTTTTCTGTTTTGCTACTTGCCACAATGAGAGCTTGAAACATGTGCAATAACAATAGTTGTTATGAAATCCAGAGATGTTAAAACTTGTGGCATTAATGAAACGACAAGACTCATTAGTTAACTATAAAGTAAGTCTGTGTGGTACATGTGCCAAAAACAGTGCCCAGGTGAGCAAACTGTATAAAAGCAATGAACCAAATGTCCAACAATGAAGCTCAGAGCTGAGTGCACTAGGGTTGTTTTTGTGATTACCAAATGCTTCTTATGCCGTTGTTTCTTGAACTTGAGACTTGCCTTTGGGAGATTTTTACTAGGTAGCAAAATCACAGGTTGCAGAAAGGGCTCAGGCAAATGTTTGGGCATAAGCCCAGTTCTTCCCTAGAGGCTAGCAGCCTTACCAGACCAGAATCCTGGGCCTCAGGGAAATTAGGTGACCCTGGAATAACCTGGGATATAGAGGGTGAGATGAACCCAACTCTGACTCACAGTCATTGGGGCTGGAGGCAGGAAGGGGGGAAGCTGGTGAACTTTGACCTCCTATAGAAAAGCTAGAGATTGTAGGTCTGGACAAAACTTGGCCTTCTTATCTAGAATTCTGCAGGGTGTTGAACTAGGCACAGTTCGGGGGGAATGATAAGAGAAGGAACTAATTTCACTGATATTAACAATGAACACAATAATTAACTTTAAAATATAGCAAGTTAAACTAAATACATGCTGAGTATGTGTCAACCACTGTTCAGGGGTGGTTTACACATGAATCCTGAGTAATTCTTGAATTCTCACAATAATCCTGTGAGGTTGTGACTAGTATTATTACTATTATTATTACCTTATTAAAAATTTTAAATATTTTACTCAGAGTAATTCATTTATATAATTTTAAACATTCAAATAGTACTACAAAGCCTCTTATTTTATTTTTTATTTTATATATGTATTGTTTTTTTTATTCTCACTCAAGGACATTTTTCTATTTTTTGTTCAGATAGAGAGGGAGGGAGAGAGAGAAAGAGACAGAGACATCGACATGGAAGGGACACAGCGAGTGGCTGCTTCCTGCAGGGCACTGATTGGGTCAGGGCCGGGGACAAACTGCAACCGAAGTACATCCCCTTAGCGGGAACTGAACCCTGGTCTCTCTTGACCCCAGGTCGACACTCTAACCACGGAGCTAACCTGGCCAGGGCCAAGGCCTCTTATTTTAGTGGGATTTCAACAGAAAACATAAATAAATAAACACATGTGTTTATTTAAATTCTGCCATATTTAATGAGAAGACCCTAAGCCAATTTTTAGATATGAGTAAAAGCTGAGGCTGAAAGAGGTTAAGTAACTTGCTTGAGGCCACACAACCATCACCTGGAGAAGCCGAACTGGAATTAAGCTTTAACACATTGTTGACTGGCAATTTTACACAGAAGTTATCTCATGTCACTGCCTATTTTTTCATAATTGAGTATGAAAGTGAAACAATCTAAATAAACTTCAGTATACTTTATTTATACGTAGTGAATTTAAATGAAACTTTGTACATATCTGCTACATATTATATTTTATACATATATATGAGTAATTTTTTTTGGTGTGTTATACTGTATAGCAATCACCTATGTGTAATGGTTCACAACATGTTTTGCAAATATATCTGGTTTCGCTGCCCTTTCATCTAGGGATAACTCCTGCTTAGGTACATACAAAGACTGAAATTTTGGGAGAAAGTAACCCAAAAGAGGCCTAATTTTATACAGTCTGTCTTCACTAGATGTATTTTATGAATTATCACTAAGATGGAAAAATGTAAGAATTTGCTCGAAACTCATTCTGCTCATAGTTTTAGGAAATATTGGAACTTCAATCAAAGGGTCCATTGACCAGTAATCCCTTTAATGTGATTTTTCCCTCTGTCCCATCAATATCAACAAACCGAGAAACTTCTCTACGAGTTAACTCATGAGTGGTCAACAATGTATTTAAGATCAGTTTGACTCTAACGGTACCGCCTGAAATGCCTCTTCAAGACCAGATACCCACCCTTCAGGAAACTCTAGGATTGTCCCAGCAACCTCAGAGACCGAGAGCACAGCCTACAGACGCCTTCAGTGTAGTCTGCACTGAATGGCTAGGAACACTGCCAGCATTGGGCACTGAGCCCTGAACCACAACTGTGAGCTCGGCCACCTGATCTGAAAGGGCACTGATGTCTTCATTCTACGTGCCACGTTTGTCCCAAGTCTTACTGTTTGTTGTTGTTTATCTTCACCTGAGGACATTTTTGCATTTATCTTCAGATAGAGCGGGAGGGGGAGAGGGAGGAAGGAAAGAGAGAGAAACATCGACTGGTTGCCACACACACCACCCCAACCGAGGACATGCCCTTAAAGGGAACTGATGGTCCGCAGGCCAATGCTCTAACCGCTGAGCCAAACCAGCCAGGGCCCATTACATCTCTTAAGTTGTCTAAATGTTTTCATTATGTACTCATTTATAAGTGGGGAATGCCTGTGGGCCCGTGTTGCCACCTAATAAGAAAAAACTAGTAAGGAACATGGAAAGTAGTTCTCAGTCCCTTGCATTATGAAAAATAAATAATCACAATAAAAAACTAAAGATAGAGCCTATGGCTATTTCTACATTTCTAGTGCTTGCATATACTGACTATACCCAGGTTCTCTAACATTGTCGGTGGTCAGAGCTGTTGACATCAGAACAGCACAGGGACGCAGGCTGCCCTCAGGAAATGCCTGGGAGAGATGAGCCGCTGTAGCATCACCTGTGCTATTTCCAGTAAATGTGCTCCAGACACTTGCTTGACATTTACTAGGAGGTGAAAACACATGAGAGAGAAAGTTCTCGAGGTGGAGAAGCCTTTGACTAAGCAAAGACCCAATCACCACACCCATCTCCTCACAACCCCCGGAGGGCTTTGTCATTCATCAGTGGAGTCTTAGGCTGTTGTCTGGTCTCCTTGCCCCTTGTGAGTGCACAGTGACCCAGGCTTTCCCCGTATTTCACATTGCTTTTCCAAATGAGTGATTTGATGTTAGAGCACAGGGAGTACTATCCACTAATTGAAATTCTCTGTGATTCATTCAATAAATATTTACTGAGCACCCATTCTATGCAAGACTTTGTTCTGGGCACTGGGGATCCAGCAAAAAAGAAGACAGGCCATGGCCCCTGCCTTCACAGAACGCACATGCTAGTGGAGGAAACAGACAGACCTGGGAGGGGGGGATAAATGTTCTCCGTTGCGGAACTTATTTTCTCCTGTAGCTTCCAGGCATGTGGCAGAAAGCAAGTCAAGAGGTCACAGACTTCACGGAAAACATATTGCTACAAGACCAGGCAAAATTCCTTAAAACAAAACAAAAAAAAAATCAAATTCCCAAATCTTGAAGCTGGCAGTCTCGGGCACTCAACTTCAACCTAGTGACTTATAGATGCTGATCGTACATTCACTGCCTTTCTGAGTTCTGGGTCTGCGGCTGCCTCAAAATTAGTGGTTTTCAAACATTCTAATTCATGTCTCACGTAGGAAGTATGTTTTGCATTGTGATCTAGTGACCACTACATATAAGGATGGATGTAGATATATAGATATACATGAAACATATACTTTTGTTTCAGTTCTACACTGATATGTATATACACACACATATGTATGTACAACTAAAACCAAAGTTGCATGTATTAATACCTATCCTTACTACATGTAGTTCACAGTATTGGCTACTCTATTTTATTTAAACTATTCTGGTCATGACCCCCTAACTTGACTTCATAAAAACCTGCAGTTTTTAAAAAGTAGATCTTGATAACAACTAAAAAAAAAATTTAGTTCCAAATCTAAGATGCTTTTAAATAACCATGTGCTTAGTAATATGAGGCAAGGTTTTGGATTTGTATTTAAAATTTTCAAATACCTCTGAAAATTATTAACATCCTCAGCCTTTAGATAAGATATATAAAAATTCCAGATTTTTGTGTGAGTCGGCTACATCCACACCTCCCACCTGCTCTCCAGAGGGAACCTAAAACAACTTGGTGTAATTTTGATCTTGATCATAACACCTAAGCCATGCTGATGGTTAGGGGGCCATACAGGGTGCTATCATGTGCTGTGAGCTTGGGATGCTACAGGTGATTCCACAGCTGACAGGTTATCCTTAAGAGCAATGACTTGTCACCTCTCCCTCATGGTTTCTTCATTGCTTGTTCGTCGTCGCACTAGCGCATACAAACCCAATGCTCCATCATTGCCTGCTGCAGCTTGAAAAAGTTTTGGTTGGTGCTGCCCTGTTGGGAGAACTAAAACTTGGGGATTATCTGTGTGATTTGCTCTTCCAAGGACCACCATGTCCCAGAACAGCATTTGCATTTTTCTTATTGCCTAATCAGTGTAATTGTTCACATTCACTGAGCACATACTACACACTCCTAACCACTGCCAAGTTCTCAGGAGGTTATTTACATTTAATTTTCTGGGTTAATGGCAGGAGTTCTCTGGAGAAACTAGTGGACTGTGGAGACAGTGCTGGAACACGCTCCTAACACACGAGCCGAACACTTTCAGTGCTGGTTTTTGAACCTTCAATGACTTGAAATCTGTCATCCTGGGAATACTCATGCCAGGGAGGCTGGCAAATGCTACATATCAGAGTCTCCCCCTTCCTCCCCATCTCCACCCCAAGCTGGTAGTTAGAGAGTTGTCTGCACATTTCTGTTAAATTTGTAGGGAAACTGAATTTGGAGGGCTCTGGGAGCCCTCTGGAATGGGGTTTCTGAGGCTAGGTGGGATTTGCAATGCTGATCACCCATCTCGGCTCTGTCCCAATGGGAGCTGACACATTTATCTGCTACCTCCTCTCAGACCAGAAAAGAAGTCCGACCAGCCCAGGTGCGAGGAGCATGAAGAGGAACGCATCAACATCTACTGCCTGAACTGCGAGGTGCCCACCTGCTCTCTATGCAAGATCTTTGGGGCACACAAGGACTGCCAGGTGGCTCCCCTCACTCACGTGTTCCAGAGGCAGAAGGTAACAGAGTCCCTCCGGCCCCTCCTCCACAGCCCATTCCAAGTGCCCCTGTGATTGGTTCCCTCTGCCAGAGGGGTTCACCCAAACCAAGCGGGAACACGGGGCTTTGAGACGGAAAGTCCAGCAGGAAGGGACGCTGTGCACAGGTGGCCGGAAGTTTGTCTCTGTAGGGTGATGGGGAAGGCCAGCGAGAGAAGGGACCCGGAGGAGTCAAGAAGGGGATTGGAGAGGAAGGGGATTGGAGGTTTTTGCACCCTTTTACAGTTGCTAAAGATGAGCAGTGTTAAGGGACTCTCAAGCTGCTCAAACATTATTTGAAGTTCAAACTACAGATAAGAAAAGGATAATTTTTTACTCCAATCAGAATATTTTTCTTCATTCACCAATGAAATGTTCCTTTGTTCCTACCCACCCACTTTGTTTCCCCTACTAGGCGTGGGGGAGAGATACGATGAATGACATTTCAAGAGCAATTTAAAATATTGCTTGTGCTGGCCCTCAAGGCGAGGTGAAACCCACGCCTAGCCTTTCACCAGAGGCCAGTCGATGAAAGGCCTCCTCTGAGTGCCCCCATCCCAGGGCCTCTGGCTCAGTCCCCCCATTCTGACCAAATGCAGCATCTTCTCCAGCTTGTCACTAACCTGCCAATATGGTTTCACCCATGGACAAATAGGACCTTATCCATTTGACAAATAAAGGTTGGAGTCATGTGTTCAAATAGGTGTAGCCACTCTAGGCACCTAGAATTTGATCAGCTCCCCATCTCTGCTTCTTAATGTTAGGAACATAGATTCCACATTTGGTCAGTGTTTTGCTAAGGATCAGAGTTGGCATGAAATTTGGAAGCCAGACTTTTGGGCAACACCAGTTCCCGCCAGTGAGTACTAACTGCTAAAGAAGCTGGATTTAGTGAGACGTCTATAACATTTATTTTTCAGTCCACTTGTGATTACCCCCCTTTCTTCCTACCCCTGCCCCCAGTCTTAGTGTGCTAGAACTGAATAGTCCCAGTTCACACTGCTTCCCTCGGAGCCCTGGGGACTCACCGGGATGGACAGAAGGACAGACGGCAGGACTTCTCCCCCACTCTCGTTTGGCCAAAGCAGCTTCACTCTCATCCATTTCTTTTCTTTTCTTTTTTTTTTTTTTAAAAAAAAAATCTGAGTTATTTATTTTTTATTTTTTTAATCCTCACCCGAGGACATTTTTCCATTTTTGTTCAGATAGAGTGGGAGGGAGAGAGAGGAAGAGAGAGAGAGAGAAACATCGATGTGAAGGGACACATCGAGTGGCTGCCACCCATACGACCAACCAGGGCTGGGGACAAACTGCAACCAAGGTACGTGCCCTTAGTGGGAACCGAACCCGGGTCTCTCTGGACCGCAGGCCAATGCTCTAACCGCTGAGCCAAACTGGCCAGGGCTCATCCATTTCTTCCATTTGAAGAAAAGGTTCTGCAGCTTTAACTTGTTTTACAACCACTGCTCTTGTCACTTAATGTGTGAGAAAATTAGGTTACGCGGTTTGCCCAACACCATAGAGAAGTCAAAGGCAGAATTGGACCAAGCAGGTAGGTCTCCTACTTCTCCACTCTTGTTCCCTGGTACTCCTTCGACCAGTTGGCAAGGGAGTAAGTACACACAATAGAGTCTCTTTGGGTCAACAGTCAGAGGAATTTCCCCTAGAACCAGTTGAATGTTTGTAGTTTCAAGTTTGTAGTGACTTAGTCTAGTATGTGAGTATGTGTACACCTAGCATATAGAAGGTGCATAATAAGTACATATTGAATAAGTCTAAGTAAATAAGTGTAAGTGAATAAATGAGTATTTACTTTATATATTTCCCTAGTAAAACTGATCCTCAGCTGCACCCAGCAAATTATTTATCTTGGGTTCCTGATGTCACATATTGGACTCCATTCAATTTATAAACAATACTTAGAAGTCTTGCCCTGGCTGGTTTGGCTCAGCAGTTAGAGCACTGGCCCTCGGACCAATGAGTCACAGGTTTAGTTCCAGTCAAGAGCATGTACTTCAGTTGCCGTTTGTCCCCAGCCCTGGGGTCAGGTGTGAGGCAACCAGTTGATGTCATAGCATCGATGTTTCTCTCTGTCCCTCTCTCTCTCCCTCGTACTCTAATGATAAATGGGAAAATATCCTCAGGTGAGGAATAAAAAAAATACTTAGAATTCTTTAGCTTGAATATGTTATTCTCTATCTGTGGCCTATAATTTCTGTTAGGAATTAGGTGGAAAATATGAAACCTCTTCCCACACAAAGGCATTTCTATACTCATCCATACAGAATTTTACTTACAAGATTAGGAGGTTCTGAACCTCCCAAGCCTCGCTGTTCCTCCTCAGGGTTTTATGGGTCCTAGGTTCAGAACCCATGAGTACAATTCTATGATTAATCCACAATCAGTACTGACTAGAAAACCCCTAAGATCGTGCACCCTTCTTCTCTCTTCATTAGTCTGAGCTCAGTGATGGCATTGCTGTCCTTGTGGGAAGCAATGATCGAGTCCAGGGAGTGATCAGCCAGCTGGAGGACACCTGTAAAACTATTGAGGTAAGTCAAGACTCCATGGGAGTGTAAACCAAGCCTGAACTCCTGGGGTGTGGCTTCCTCAACACCACACTAGAAATCCCATTTCAACGTTTCAGTCTCTCCTCATCGATTTACCTCCTTCCTGGTATGTCTCCGGTACAGGAAGAGAAGTGACCACATGAGCCAACAAAGGCAGATTTTACCACCTTTACTAGGATTTTGTTACATGTAGTGTTCTTTCTTGGTCAACCCATTTTGAAAGATTAGCTACAAGAAAGATAATTCCAAGTAATGAAAATGAGATTATCCACCTTTACAGCACAATTTCTTTGTGGAAATCCAAATGGTCTTAAGAAATGCTAGTTAGTGCTGTAGGAATTCACATGCAGGTTTGGGCTGCATATCCGTGCTCTGACAGTGGGGCTGCGACGGTCCAGCAGGAGAGAGATCTGCCTGACCCTGCTCAGAGACTTGTTCAGCAACTGGGAGCTCAGGGCGGCCTGAATTCTGCTTTGTTCAACTCTGCTGCCCTCTGCCTGGCCCAGAACCTGGCACATAATAAACACTGAATGAAAACTTGATGAACAATTGGATGAATGGCTTGCTATTTAGCTCACTCTTAGGTTTAGCATGTAAAAACAGACAGAATCCCCTTTTTCTCAAGGTCAACTATAAACTGTGTGATTGCTGAAGGCAAACTGCTGGATCCTAAAAAGGTTCAGCTCTGTAGGAGATATCTTTTCAAGACTTGAGGATTCACAGACTAGTTAAGCCATGCTGCAGAGGGGCGGGTGTAAGATCTCTGAGTCTCTGGCCCTGTACCCTGGAACCTTTTATTCCTCTCTCCCTGCCCAAAGTTTTGGGGTAATTTTTTTTAGTTAGACTTCAGGTGCAGAGAGTTGAGGCACTGATCTGCTCAGTTCATGGCTTATTGTCTTCATGTCTGTGGGCAAGGCCCCTCTTGTTATCTATTTATTTCCTTTTATCCCCATCTCCTGCTCCTGTTCTCTTCTCTGTAAATAACCTCTCTAACATGTTTGATGCTCCATCTACCTGTATTCTTATAAAATGTGTACTGTTTTATATGCATGTCTTTTATTTTATAAATGGCATTGTGTTGTATTTCTCATTCTGCTTCTTACTTTTTTTAAAAAACTAAGCATTTTGCTTTTAAGATCTAGTCACATGTACATTCAATCTTTCAGTTTTCTCCTCTGTAAAAGTGGGTTATTACAGTACCTACTTCATAGTTACTGTGAGGAATTAAATAAGCATAAGCAAAATGCTTAGCACAGTGCCAGGCATAAGGTGAGTGCCCGATAAATGCCCTAGTCTTATTATTTTATCATTAGAAAGGTACATTCTAGCCAAAGCCAAAGGCTAGTTCCTAGATGATGACTTCAAGACACTGGCCAAAATCTCTCTTCAGATTCACACATCATGAAAGTAAATCTCTCTTCTCCACACTCATATTCCTAAGAAAATCCATGATAAATCTGGCATCCATTTATAGAAGAAAATGTTTCTCTTGGTGAAAAGCCCAAAGAGATTCCTGTGTGGACATTATAAACTTTTTTCTTTCTACTTATTTACAGTAAAGGCCAAATACAATTCAGTCTTTAAGCCATGAATCTGCACTCCGGTGTGGTGGCACCTAGAGCTGAGTGTATAAATAGGAGTGTGTTGCTTCTGCGCCAGTGAGGTAATCTCTATACTCGTCTCTGGTGGGGCCTACATCAGAGGCCTCTGTCGTGGGAACAGGCCTTCTGTCAGGGAAGTTCAGGCTAGGGAACACATACAGGAGGAAATCCTGTGCGTAGCAGTGGCCTTGAGCAAAGCCTGCATCACAGGACACGAGAGGGTGCAGAGAGATTTGACAACCAGTTTTGCTCTTGGAGGCTCGGGTGCAATAGAAAGCAGCTGCTTTTATTTTCACTGAGAACGAGACCAGAAGGAACAGGTTTGAAGTTGTGTCAGCAGACGGGGTTTAGTGCAGATGTCAGGAAGCACTTCCTGGAAGCATCCATCAGGATTATTATCTCTGTAATTACAGATAAGAACATTGATCAAACACTATGCACTTTTATGAGTACTTTCACAGGTTACTGGAGAACAGTATGTAATTGTCATCTGCAAGGCTTCACAATGAGACTGAAAATTGGCAGGAGTCTTAAAAGTGTCCATCCCTTTTACCTGTTGACTTCACTTCTGGATTTTACCTTAAGGAAATACAATGAAAAAGCAGTATATAAATCAGTATGGAATGTATATATTAATAAATAACCCCATATACATTCATAGGGGAGAAAACTCCAGAAATCAAAAGGTTAAGAGCAGTGAGCGGTGGGACCACAGGTGATTTTCAATGCCTTCCTTATATTTTTCTGCATCCCACATTTTTTCTAAAGCAAGCTTGACATTTTTAATAACCAATAAGATAATAGGGGTGAATGAATGAATGAATGAATGGGGCTCAGATAAGCACAGGTCTTTCAGATCAGCTTAGGTAGCCCCTCCGGGAATGCAGGGATTGGTCAGAGCCCCACAGAGGTCTCCGATTTTATGATTCCTACCTGATGCCAATATTCCCCATTTGAAGAGGCCCTGAGGACAGAGACACTGCCACCAAATGACCACACTGTGCACACCTGTAATCACCAAGGTGCTGTCCTGTAGATGTAGGGCCTTGCATACCAAGTCCTTGGCTCAGAGTGAAATGATCCAAGGTGAATTCTGTACCTGGGGCCAGGGTCCCAGAGCTCTTGTGTCCTCTGTTCAGCCTGGGGTTGTTGTTTCCCTTTCTGGCTCTGCTCACCACCTGCCTGGAAACATTTTCAGAGAAGCCTTTGGTGGCTGCTGACCAGGGGGTGGGGAGCTGTTGTTAAAGATTTCTCCTTTCTGATTGGTAAGGAAGCCCTGAGGGATGGGAAATGGAGTATCCTCTGGAGTGGGCTCTCTGCTTCCCTAATTACTTCACCTCTCCCCACAAGGGGCCTGACACCTGCCCTTTGGTCAAGTGTCCATTTCCTACACATGTCTAATTTTGTCCGTAAACATGTAATGTCTTGCAAGGCTGGCCTGGGCAGGCACCTGGCCCAGGACTAGCCCTAGAGAGCTGCTGAGCTTAGGGGAAATCACACTGTGGACTCCTTGTTATCCTTTAAAAATACCCCGGTTTGGCTCAGCGGTTAGAGCGCCGGCCTGCGGTCCAGAGGGACCCGGGGCACATACCTCGGTTGCAGACCCTGGATGGGTCATGCGGGTGGCAACCATTCAATATGTCCCTTTCACATCAATGTTTCTCTCTCTCTCTCTTCCTCTCTCTTCCTCCCACTCTAACTGAACAAAAAATGGAAAAACGTCCTCGGGTGAGGATAAAAAAAATAAAAATAATGTATCCAGATGAGGTGAGTTCACATTGATGACGAGAGTGGCGTTGAGAGGGGCTGTAGACACAAAAGGGCAGTCTGAGCTGTGTGAGAAGGGGAGTGAATTCTCCTGTTGTTGTGGTCTGATGCTGGATGGAGGAGCCTCAGTCTGTCTTGTCATCCTGGCAGATACGGCTCAGCCTGGGGCATTCCCAGAGCTCTGGATTGCAGGGCATTGGAGGGGCTTCCGGGCCCTTCTAGTCGAGCCCAGCAGAGTCTGGGGCGACCCTGGCCTTTCCAGGCCCGGAGATGTTATGGGACAGGCTGGGACTGAGGAGGGGGTTGCTGGTGGAAGTGGAGAAGTATACTCCAGGAGCTCTCTCTGCTTCCAGAGAAATGTGATTGACTTTCGATCTTCACCCCTAGAAAACATAACCTCCCTTTTATAGTCTGTATTAATGGCACTTAACCTATGTCACTGGACTTCAAGAGAGCAGACTATTAATATTGGCCTTCCCAACGCAGGTGGCCAGACATGCTAGAAATAATCCTGTTTTCATGGATGCCTGTCTAGGAGAAACAGCTACAAATTGAAAATAAATATTTAATTTTGAGCATTTGCTATATCTGAAAAATGTCAACTTTAATAAAATTCTCCAGTGATTAGGCAATGAGAATAAATCCACTGTATTTCCAAAATAGTGATTTTTATCCAGCTTTGAAACATTGTCTATGTGGTTACAAATATGAAGTATGACTACAAGAATCATTTTAATAAGCATGCCCTAATTTTTAAGGCAGTATTCCAATGGCAATATAACATGTGCTTAAATATAACAGATTCAGAGTTTGAATTTTATCTTATTTATTTTTTGTGGGGTGACACTGGTTAACAAAATTATACAGGTTTCAGGCACACAATTCTACAACACATCCTCTGTACACTGTATTGTGTGTTCACTACCCCAAGTCAAGTCTGCATCCATCACCATTTATCCCCTTGTGCCCTCCTTCACCTCCTCCCAACTATCACCACACATCTGTGTCCATGAGTTTTTTCTTTTTATCTTTTTTATTCAATCCCTCCACCACCCCTCGACAGCTGTCAGCTGCTCTCCATCTATGAGAATGTCTCTATTTTGCTTATTAGTTCATTTTGTTCATTAGATATCACATATGAGTGAAATTATATTGTACTTGTCTTTCTTTGACTGGCTTACTTCACTTAGCCTAATGCTCTCCAGGTCCCTCCACACTGTCTCAAAGATTTTCTTCTTTTTTACAGCAGAACAGTATTCCATTGTGTAAATTTACCACAGTTTTTTAAATCCGCTCATGTACTGATGGGCACTTGGGCTGTTCTAAATCTTGGCTATTGTAAATAATGCTGCAGTGAACATAAGGGTGCATATCGGAGTTTGAATTTTAACACTGTCACTTAATTATATGACCCTGGGCAAGTTACTTCAGCTCTCTGACCCTTAACTTCCTTAACAATACCATGGGGACAATAATACCTTCTTCACAGTGTTGTTGTGATGACTGATTGGTGGTAGGAGGCACATGCCAGGGACTCAGTAAGTGTCACCTTGTATGATCCTCAGAGTCACCCTAGAAAGAGCACACTTAGTCTAACAATGTTAATAGTCATTT